CCCCCCCCCCAGCTACGTGTAAATAGCAGAACAGACCGGGTTTTAAAGCCTTGGATGACAACTGGTCTACCGCAGAAAGAAATAGCAACCTACTTCGGGGAAAATCTGCCTCGTCAGTCATGTATCGAAAAATACATGATCGCTTAAGCGTGTATCACGCATGGCACATAATTGACTGACTGATTAGATTGGAGATGAGGTATCATAATTTTACAGTTGATATGATATGATGCAACCGTAAGTGCTACGATAACAGTATCATTTCTCACACTTCTCACTTGTGGAACTCTCTTCCGGCTTCTTGCTTCCCAGTTAAGTTTGATCTTCAAAAATTTAAATGTAATGTCAATCGTTATCTTCTATCTTCTTAATTCCTGTTCTTTTATTGTTCTCTCTCCTTAATACTGTCTTTCTTTTTCTTAGATTATTTCACACTTAGTAACCCCCTTTCGTCTTAATAGCTTTATCGCCATGCTTGGAGAGAAACGATTAAAATTTAAATTCAATGTCAATCGTTATCTTCTCTCTTCTTAATTCCTCTTCTTTTATTGTTCTCTCCCCTTAATAATGTTTTTTTCTTTTTCTCATATTCTTTCACATTCAGTAACCCCTTGAGTCTTAGTGGCTTTATTTCCTTGCTTGGAGAGAAACGATTGAAATTTAAATGTAATGTTATCTTCTATCTTCTTAATTCCTGTTCTTTTATTGTTGTGGCTCCTTAATATTACTTTACTTATATTCTCTAACATTCAGTAATCCATTGTGTCTTAGTGGCTTTATTACCTTGCTTATAGTGAAATGATAAAAAACTGAAATAGAAAGCTCACTTATGTTTAGAATCAGAGACAGTTGAAATGTAACTCTATGTGAATTGTTACAACGGGCGACAACAAAGGAGGACACCAAAATCTGGAGGCGCAAAAAGATAGTGAAATATGCCTTTCAAAAACTAAGCAAAGAAACAGAAAAGTTTCGTTAGAAACAAAGCACTATCAGTTATTCTGTATGGCAGTGAATAGTAGATAAAACTGTTCCCAGTTGAAATTTCTGAGACGGGACAAATACTGAGGAAAGAGGACGTGGAGAATTGACACTCACGAGGCATACTGATAGCAAAAAGAAACGTGAAATAAACAATTTCAATGCAATATCAATCGTTATCTTCTGTCTTAATTCTTGTTCTTTTATTGTCCTCTTCCCAGTTGAAATTTAAGAAAAGAGGGCGCGGAGAATTTACACTAAGGAGACATTTAAAGTAGGATGGGCGGAGAGAACATGGAATATCCAATTTAAATGTAATGTCAATCGTTATCTTCTGTTTTCTAGATTCTTGTTCTTTTACTGTGCTTTCTCCTTAATAGTAAATTTTTTTATCATATTCTCTAACACTCAGTAACCTCTTGCGTCTTAGTGGCTTTATTGCCTAGCATTGAGTGAAATCATCTTTAAAAAAATCTAGAAAGATTAACTGTAGTATATTGCTGATGGACTCAAATAAGGCGACGTATAAATGGATAAATATTATTATTGTCTGAGTTGCAGCGAATGGGTAAGAGGGAGAGAGAATCCCAAAGGTTAGGATTGCACCCACAAGAATTGACGGAAACAAGTCTCCGGTGAACCTCTAGCCAGCCTCTTTGTCCAGACTTGACTGACTTGTATCGGTTTTCACCCTGGTCGGGTTGAACCGGCTTCCTCCCGAGCAAGTACAGCATCACGGACCATCGCTGCCCACGCTCGCCGATCCTGAGCCAGGTCACACGAAATGGCGAGCCAATCGCGATTCCATCGTCGAAGACCAACTACTTGTGGACCCGATAGTACTGCTAGGTCATCCTTGATTGTGCTAGCCCACGTCCTCAGCTGCCCACCGACACGTTTTCGCCAGCCAGGAAGAGAAGAAGGGTGAAGTACGTGGATGAGCTCTGCCTCCGGGCGTCGAGCTGCGTGCCTGAACCATCGGAGACGACGCTGGAGCAGGACGGGTGAAAGAGGACGGAGACTCAGGCGACAACGTAGAGTGGTTGTAGGCACACGATCGATTCGGCGGCATCGTAAAATGCAGCGAAGGCAATCGTTGTCGAATACTTCAAGCCTTCGTAGGTCAACCGCTCTAAGTGGCCATGTTTCGCAGCCATAGAGAAGGATAGTCCGAACAATAGCCTGATAGATGCGCCCCTTCGTCGCCGTGGAAATCTCCCGTCGCCCTCATAGTGACCACTTGAGACGTACGAATCCCCTATCCCCTACTCTATTCAACTATACAATCGACTACATCCTCGGCAGGGCCCTTCGGGACTACACTGGAGTTGCGGTTGGTCGGAATGTCAGGGTGTCTGATCTGGCCTACGCGGACGACATTGTCTTGGTCGGATCGAACTGTGACGATGTCCAAGCTGCGCTCACCCATGTGAAAGCTGCAGCACGGGATGTGGGTATGACCATCAATGCCTCGAAGACCAAAGTTATGCCGTCCCTGGTTGTCACTGACGCTGGACGGGGTCAATTTGGAGGACGTGCAGTCTTTCGTCTATCTCGGTTCAACCATTATACCATCCGGTATGAGGTTGAACGTCGTATAGGAGCTCTGTCCAGATCAAGAATTGGACCGGTTTTATAACATTTGGACACCCACGGAACTTCACGTGACTACGCCGTCTTCCTATATGTCGCCTACGTAGCTTCGCGTGGGCACGCCTCGCCCGGCATGCGCCCACGCAAGCACGCGTTTCCTTCTTCTAAAGACACCTGTGCACCCTGTTTATTTAAGCCACCGAATGCATTTTCTGTTTATGCTATCACCAGTTCCGATATCCGCTCACATATTGATGCAGCAGAAGTAAGTCCAAAGGTCTTTCCTCAGCCGATATCCAATATAATAACAGAGGACTTGAGAAATGCATTTTCCTGGAAATTTCTTTTAAGATGATTTTTTCTTTGAAATTTCAACCAACCGTAACGCTAACTGCTCGGTCAATGAATGCCAAATGTTTCCTGGGTGTGTCCACTGCCATTGCCATTGTAGTCTAACAGTTGTTAGCTGATCGTTTGAAGAACCCAGTCAAGCGGTAAAAGTTGTCCATTTCACACATCAGCGCCCAAACTGTTTCTAACATAACCACAGATTGCTGACACTTATTTCCACACCAAGCGTCTCCAACCTAGCTTATCTCGATTATGCAGGGAAAGACACCTTGCATTAATGCCCAAACTGTTCAACTGCAGCAATATGCTATGGTTATTGCTCATTAACGCTTTGATGACCGGAACAGTTAAAAAAGAACATCATTAGATAAACACGCTCACAAGACACTACCATCCAAGCAAACAGATAACAGAAACATAATTTTTAATATTATAGAAACCAAGATATATAAACATCACACGTTAATTATATATAAATATATAAACATCACACGTTAATTATACTTTAGCTTAACAATCATTGCATTTACTTACGAAGTGATGGCAGGCTAAGACTTCATATAAACTGATGTTAAAATTTCAAGGTGAAAATTACAGTGAGCTTTCATGAGTACCCTGAACGTCTTTTGATTCTAGGAGTAGATATCGTTCTAGCGATAATGGGTATGTCCCCATTCACATAAATACAGTAGTAAATACTGTATGTTGGTCTGCACTTGGAGATTCGACTCCAGCTTGACCAGCACAGAGAGGATCCCCAGGCTATGTCGAAGGGCAGGGTCTCGTCTCGGAAAACAGCTACCCGACTCAGTTTTATACGGGGAATTTTTGGCCGAGCTACGGGCTCGGATACCCCCACATTAAATTCGGCCTTTTGCCACACCTGGTATCCTGAGTTGGAGATTCGTCTCCAGCTCTGCTAGTCAACCTGTCGAAGGGCGGAGTTTCGTCTCGGGAAGCAGCTGCCCGACCCCGTTTTAGACGAGGAATTTTTGGCCGAGCCTACGCGCTCGGATACATCACATTAAATTCGACCTTGTGCCACATCTGACCACGTGGGTGGGTGGGGGTATGCTTGGCATATATCCTACAGTTGAAGATTCGTTTCCAGCTGTGTTAATCAAACTCTCTGCCTTCGGGCGGAGAGGATCCCCAGATGAGACTATATCGAAGGGCGGAGTCTCGTCTCGGGAAACAGCTACCCGTCCTCCTTTTATACGGGGGTCTACGGGGAAGTTTTAGCCGAGCCTACGGGCTCGGATATCGCGCATTAAACTCGACCTTGTGCCACATCTGACCACTCAGAAGGTTGGTAGATGTTCTGCAGTTGGAGATTCATTGTGGAATTCACTTGACTCACTTCTAGCAGTTAATTACTTCTTCTACGCGCCGCTGGCGAATCTTATATGCGTTGTTCGTGTCCTAAGTATTATCATTCATCATCACCCTTCATGTGATTATTCTATTCAGTAACAACAGGTATATTGATGTCAATCCTAAATGCGCCAAGCCTACAACTAAGGTAATTTCTCACTAGTAAATAAGATTGTCATTTATTTTCACCTTAAGGGTTTATTGTCAGTTTGTATTAAGGGATGCCTGCCATCCATCTATTAAGCTTAAGTACAAATAACCTTTGAGATTTATACAGGGTGCCCCAAAAGTGACCACGGATTTAAAAAAAAATTAATAACTTTTTTCTTTATTAAATCTTTTGAGTTTTCTTTCAGACATGCTGTGGCTTCCCTCTGTCTTTTCTACATGGAAACTGCTCCGACGAGCTACTTTCCCTGGTACCCCAACTACATGAATTTAAGCGTGCTACTAGGTTGGCATCTCGGTCCCACCCTTTCAGTGTCGAAACGGTTAAATGTAGCCATCTCTTCTCCAACAGCTTCTTCTCTCGCACTTCCCGACAGTGGAATTCTCTTCCTCTAACTTGCTTTACTGATAGGCTATAATATTCAGATATTCAAATATAGTGTCAATCGACATCATCTGATCTTGTTCTTCGTCCTTTTCTTTACCCTCTCCCCAAACACGCCTCCTTGCTCTTGTGCTCTATGCTCTGTAACCCCACGCGTGCTAGTGGCGTAGATAGATATGAACAGACTAAGATAGATAGATAGATAGATAGATAGATAGATATGAACAAACTAAGATGGTGTTATGGTCCGGTTCCTTGTACCACGGTGATAGTCCAAGGTAGAACCAATAAAGAAGAACTCGAACACGGATATGGAATAACACAGATATATTACAAACAGGAATATATACAGAGAAGTAGAAAGTGTTAGTACGAACAATCAGGTTTAGTAGTAATTGTCTGAACGCGACTCTGTTTCGGACTGCCTCTGACTCGACTGACTGACTCGCTATGACTGACTGACAGACTCCTGACGGACTTCACTCCAGACTTCAGACTGAACCCTCTGCTTCCTCTTGAGGCGCAGTATTTATTACGTATGGAATAGTCCATTATGTTATTATGGGTAAGGTCCCCTAACAGATGGGTAGATAGATAGATAAATAGGTAGATAGATATATAGTAGATAGATATGAACAGACTAAGATTAATAGATAGATAGATATGAACAGACTTAGATAGGTAAGTAGATAGATAGGTAGATAGATATGAACAAAGATAGATAAATATGAACAAAGATCAATATATATGAACAGAGACAGATATGAACACAATGAGATAGATAGATGCTGAATGATATATATATATATGAATGAAGACAATGGGATAGATAATGAACTGAATGAGATAGATAGATAGATAGATAGATAGATAGATAGATAGATATAAACAGATTGAGATAGATATATAAACATATAGTTACGAAAAGATTGAAATTGATAGATATGAATAGATTGAGATAGATAGATATGAACACAATGAAATAGATAGATAGATAGATAGATAGATAGATAGAAAGATAGATAGATATGAACAGACTAAGATAGATAGATATGAACAGACTAAGATAGATAGATAGATACGAACAGAGTGAGATAGATAGATAGATAGATATGAACAGACTGATAGATAGATAGATAGATAGATAGATAGATAGCCAGTTATTTTCCTCGAATAATGATTCTCTTTGTTCTTGTTAAAAAAACAAAACTTATATTGACATTACGTCACAGGTTTGAAACAATCAATCGTGTTTGGTCGTTGTCATTGATTTCTGTGTCTCCAAAGATCGATAACAGTTGCAACAAATTGATCATGAATAACGTCCAGCAGGGAAAAGTTATGACGTACTTACAGATTCGGGTTATTCTAGTGGTCACTTTTTGGCAGATCTACAAATCAAAGAGACAATTCCATTTTTTTTTGTTTGCCCTCGAACCCCCAGGCAAAAAAAAATCACCCCGAAACCCGAGATATGTCTCTCTGACGAAGTGGCGAGAGGGTGATTCGGTGCCATTGGGTCTGGACAAAAAAGCAAAAAGGTGTAAAAGTGACGTGGAGAAGGCAACTAAAGTCGCTTCTTGGCGTTTTCGTATCGATTCCTAAGGGGCAGATATAAAATATCCGACTATCCATCACTTTCAAAGGGAGGACGTGCTTTGAAATTGTGCCAGCGACAGATAAACGTCGTCCGATGGGGGTATCACGTTGTTCAGAACACACACACGCGCACACACGCCCACACAGATGCACACATGCACGCACATACGTACATAGACGTACATACACACACACGCTCATGCACACATGCACGCACATACGTACATAGACGTACACACACACACGCTCATGCACACATACACACACATACGTATATAGACGTACACACACACTCATGCACAGATACGTACATAGACGTACACACACACACACACTCATGCACATACACACACACACACACACACACACATATCCATATCTGTCTCTATTGAGCTTTAGTCAACTAGTGTCTATCATTGTCTGTTTCGTCAGTTTTTTTTCTTATTTCTGTCAATCTGTTCAAATATATTTTGTTTAAGATCACGCTTACCCAATCTCTCTCTTTCTCTTTCTCTCTCTCTCTCTCTCTCTTTCCCACACACACACATACATATATATCTGTCGCGATAACATTTTTAGTCAATTGGTGTCTATCTCTGTTGTTGATTTAATTTATCTATCTATCTATCTATCTATCTATCTATCTAATTCTATTCTTTATCTATCTATCTATCTATCTATCTATCTATCTATCTATCTATCTATCTATCTATCTCAGTCTATTTCTTATCTACCGCAGGTGATTATCGATACCTCTTTTTGTTTATTTTTTCTTTCTACATTCTTTTTCTTTCTTTCTTTCTTTCTTTCTTTCTTTCTTTCTTTCTTTCTTTCTTTCTTTCAACATTCTTTCTTTCTTTTTTCTTTTTCTTTCTTTCTACATCCATCCATTCTTTCTTTCTTTCTTTCTTTCTTTCTTTCAAGGCTGTTTCGTACCTGCCTTTAATCAGGTTATTATTTATCAAGCATCTATATCAGTTTGCTGAGTCGGGTAGTTGTGTACTTCCCCCTCACTGCTAATTATCTTCAAGACTCTTTAAAAGCCTGTTTATAGAATGCTGGTTTCGCAGCTGCTTGTCGCTTCTAACTTCGAAGCATTAACCGAGTATTGAACTCACACTGTGAGTGTGGGTTCAATACCCGGTTAAGGCATTGGAGAACTTTCAGAGGGAAATTAACAGGAGATAACTGATAACTGGCATCCATTAAATATCGCTCGTGGAACTAGAACAGTCTACCCCAGTGAGAGAAATAAAGAGTTACGTTCGACATTCCAACCACCTGAAGAAGGCCGGAGCCTACAACGGCCGAAACGTTGTAATAAATATGGCGACAAAGATGAGGACAATAGTCTGAATAATGTAAATAATGTACATAATAACTCATTTCAGAAATATAGACAGAAGTTTGCAATTCGTATAATTATCGTTTAGTATAAATGTCCTTTCGATTAATTTTTATTCAAACAATTTACAATTTGAATAAATGTTTTTCGAATAATTATTTTCAAATAATGTTCACGTAATCGATGCAATCCTTATTATTCGAAATACTTATGTTTGAAATACGTATGTGGTTTGCTTTGAGAGAGTCAATATTGGTTTACGCTCTTGAAAGATGGCATAGAGCTTTTTTTACAGCAAGTGTCATCCCATAATTCCACAATATGGAAATTCTTAGAGACTCTTAAAAGAGAGCAGGACTTACAAGAAATTCATATTGCAACAGTAAGAGCAGGTTGTCAAAATATCAAGATAGCCAAGAAATACCGCGACGTAAATGGAAAACTTTAAAAAATTAGTGGCTTCCTTTAACGAATACCCTTCAGGAGTTGACTATTTCTGTGCTGTATTATATAACTTAAGGTTATAAGAGTTTTTCTTACTAATGTTTTTTTTTTATTAACGATATTTGTATTTCGAATAATTCAAATTTGGTATTTCCTCTTTTAATTTTGACATATTTATTGCAATAAAGAATTTTGCATTTCGAATAATTATCATATAATATAATTGTCTTTTCGATACATTTTATTGAAACAGTTCAAATAAATGTTTTTCGAACAATTATTTTCGAATAATGTTCGCATAATCCAAAGCACAAATATTCTCTTTTTACATTATTGTTCACCCAATATAAGGCCCAAGAGCCACTCAAAGTAGACACTTTCTGAATGACCTTGTTTTGTGAACATCAGTGGAGGAACTAAGTGTAGATTATGAGAATATTTAAAATAGATTACGATTGAGTAATCAGGGAATCATCGTTTCGGGCGTTTAGTCCCAAAAGTAGCTGATCTAGTTTCTGATCTATGATAGTGCAGAGTTTGGTACTTAACGGATGTAAATTTGAACCCCCCAACAAAAAAAAAAGAAAAAAAAGAAGCCTTCCATTTAACTATCATAGAGAACCATTTCTGTGTGTCATAAGTATGGCTGACACTAGACTACAGGAGAGCAACACATTGCGCCATCTTGGCTTCGCGTTTTCCACAGACCTGAAGTAGAGCGAATATATCGAATCAATCAATAGCTGCATCTACTGCTAGGAAATTTGGTTCACTGTGTCGTGACAGAAAATCTCTCTCGTCAGAATGCATCTTTCACATTTATAAATCTACCATTCGTTCATGCATTGAGTACTGTTGTCTTATCTGGTGCTTCTGAGGTCTGTAGAGAGCTTGAGTCTCAATAGACATTCAAGGCAAGGAGCTTCCTTGCGAGAAGTTCTATCGATCATGATAGGTGAATATTCGGGGTCTGCTCGGTGATGGTGGAGCGTTATAGTTTGCTTTTGGCCGTATTGAATTTTACAAGCCAGTCCTTCTTCCATTGTCACCTGGGCTGGATGAGAGGAGAGATGAGCAGCTAAGTTCTGGTCTTCATGACTTTTGGAGGCGCACCTGTAAAATGTAAATCACCGTAGAGAAGCTTTTCTGCCCGCCATCAGAATGGTTGAGGCTAAACTCCAGGAGGACAACACTCTACGCCTTCTTGGCCTCGCGTTTTCCACTGATATAAAGTAGAGCGAATAGCTGCATCTACTGCTAGGAAATTTGGTTCATTGTGTTGTGACAGAACTTCTTTCTCGTCAGAATCCATCTTGCACATTTACAAATCTACCATTCGTCCGTGCAATGTGTATCTGTTGCCATATCTGGTCTGGTGCTTCTGTTATTCATCTGGAGGTTCTCGACAAAATCCAAATGCAATGTAATCGATCCTGACATGATATCTGGACTTTAGTCACCTTCTCAAAGACCTGATTTGGCTTCCCTCTGTCTTTTCTACAAATATTTTCATGGCAATTGTTCTGATGAACTATCATCTTCCCTGATGCCCCGACTACATGAATTTAAGCGGGCTACTAGATTCCCACTCATTTACTGTTGAAATATTTAGATTTCGGTATCATCTATAAATCTACCATCCGTCCGTGCATTTAATACTGTTGCCATATCTGGTCTGCTACTCCTACTGCCCATCTTGAGATAAAAACCAAAGAAAGATCTGTCATTTAATCAATTCTAACTAGGCATTTCAAGTTCAGTCACTTTCCCATCGACATAACATGGCTTCCATCTGTTTTTTATAAATATTTTCATGACAACTGCTTTGACGAATTTAAGCGTGCTACTAGATTGGCATCTAAGTCCCACCTTTTTGTTTTACTGTTGAAATAAATAAATGCAATCGCCACTTCTACTCCAATTTCTCGCATTACCTACCTGCTGTACTCCCTTCCGTTTTCTGTGCTTCCCTGATAACTACGCTCTTCAAAAATTAAAATGCAATGTCAATCGCCATCTTCTGTCTTCTTGAATCCCGTTCATCTTTTGTCCTTTCCTCAATCTTCGCTATTATCACTCTTCTCTTACACTTTCACACCCTGCAGTCCTCTGCGTACCAGTGGCACTCCCGCCTTGCTTGGAGTAAAATGATTACCCCCCCCACCACAAAAAAAAAACTTGTATCACCTTGAGCCAGATTACCCCTTGTAAATATTCTGAGGAGTTTACCGCGTTGAGCAGGATAGTAGCTAATCTCCAAGACAAACTGGGATCCTCACTGGGTGTCTACTTAATATGTATAAATTATAGACGTTGAACCTGTTGCAGACGTTGAATAACATGTCTACGCAGAGTGTAACTGAAAGATTCCCAAGGTGGGGTACCTGCCCCACCGGTGGGGCGTGGTAATATTTGGGTGGTTCATGCGTATTATGTGCACCCTTTGTTTAACTATACCAACAGAATAAGGGAGCAATTCGAGAATGAGTAATTAACAATGAATTATTTTCTAGTGAGTCTAAGTGAGAGTGTTAATGTTAATGTGTGTTAATACATACGATGTATATACAGTATGCACACATAAAAATATTTTGTGTGTATGTACGTACATGTGTAATTGGCGTACATGTAAGTAATAAATATTACTGGGAGAGCTCCAGAATTTTAGAAATACCAAAGTGGGGGATGGCCTCAAATCGGTTTGGAACTACAGGCTGTCCATAAAGTTCGTATGCACTTTAAAAAATTTATAACTTTATTTGTATTTGCGATAGAAATAATCTGTAAAAAAAGATTAGGAAGAAGTAAATCTATATTTTGTAAGGTTTTATTGAAGTTTTATTTAAGTTTCCACATGTTCTCCATCATTAGCAATACAAAGGGTAATACGATTTTGCAGTTCACGGAAAATATTTGCCAACTGATTTACAATAATGCCTGAAATCACACTAGTTATTTTAGCTCTACTTAAAACTAGGTACATTAAACTTTATAACATTTTTTACAGATTATTTCTATCGCAAATACAAATAAAGTTATAAATTTTTTAAAGTGCACACGAACTTCATGGGCGCCCTGTAGAAGGTAACAAAACGAGAATGAGTTATTAACAGTGAATTGTGTTAATG